GAGTGGGGAGGGAGCGGCAGGCGGACAAGGAGCCCGTGGAAGCTGCGGAGGTGCCGGAGGGACGGGGAGGCGTCGACAGCCGCGAGGAGGAGCGAGGCGAGCGCGGGGGGAGGGAGGAGGGGCAGCGGCAGCGCGGTGGGGAGCAGCGACAGCGGGGCGCGGAGGAGCAGCGCGGGTGGGGGGCGCGGAGTGGCCAGGTGCACCATGCCGGCATTGCCCGTGCGGCACGGCGCGTGGCGAGCGGTGTTCTGGGCGACGGTGCCGGCGAGCTGCGCGCTTTGCGGCAAGCCCGCGGCGGACGGTGGCTGGTGTAAAAAACGCGGCGGCGCGAGGCAAACTATTCAGACGCCGGAGCGAAGCAGGGCGAGGCGAGGCGCTGCCGCTTTTTCCCGAGCGACGGGGCTCTGGGCCTCGTCAGTCTCGGTCTGTCTGTATGGGCTGGTCACAGAAAAATTGGGCTGGCTTGGTCAAGAGCTTGATTTTACTGGGCTTTTCCCCCTTTCTTTTGGTGTATTTTGCTGAAGCCCAATCCAATTATTATCACAAAAAGTTCGTTCGAAATCACCGATTAAGAAGTACTTGTTGCAAAGATCACTCCCACTTTCTCAGATTGCCACAAGTGGTGAGTTTTTCCTTTTTCGTAGATTTGTTTATTCAAAATGTTTTATCTCTTAAACCAGCGTCCAAATCTCGAACCGTTTTCACTGTTGGATTCCTCGCGTCGAGATCTTCAAAACTAGATCTCATGTTGATAGATTTTGGTGAACTTTTTTTCACAAAAAAAACTGAACAAAAAAATCAGACGAAAAAACCAGACGAAAAAACCGAACCGGGAGCATGGGGTTTTTCCCTTTCCGAAAGAGGCACGCCCGTGCCTCTCGCGGAATCACAAACGTGCCTCTCGCGAAAGAAAAAAAACGCGTTTTTTTCGTTTCCGAGGAGGTGCCTATGTCGAAAGCTTGAAGGGCATCGACTTTGAGCGCTTCGACATGATGTCGTCGTCCTTATAAACCTTGGTCCTCATCTCTGATAGCTCCTCGGCGGAGAAGGCCACGGTTTGCTCCTCGGTTCTAAATGACTGCTTGGGATTTTCGTAGATAGTGATGACGCTCTTTTGGCCCTTGTGTATGCGTAGTGCGGCACAACGCGAAACCATGTGAACGTGGTCCGTTCTAACAACGCATCATAACCACTCCGAAAAGAGACTATGTCAAAGCCCAAGGCTTCAAGATGAAAAATAGTTGTCGAGAGTCCCACACAACACGTCGGGCATGACCCTCCCCGTGTGTCAAGCCTCCATGCCCGGGATGATACCCTCAAATTTGGTCAAACTGAGCTAATTGCGCAACGCATCGAACTACATATTCTTTGGTGTTTCCACATAGATGAGACTGCGACTGATGTCGCCGTCCATCAGGACCCTAGTCAGGTGAAACCCGTCGATTATATGTCGAGGACGAGTGCCACGTCTCACTTGTTGAGCTTGCCGATGGTTTTGCCAATTCCATTCGTAGATGGGCCTTTCTGGCATTTCATGAAAAGTAAAAAAGTTCAGGATTTTAGGCCCCCATACAAGTTCTTTCAGAATTGAGTAAATTTTACTCATGAACTGAATTTTTGTAGGCGGACTGAGAAGAGTAGCAACCATTTTGCCGTCCACTTACTAGAGTTTTTTTTTTTTTTTGCGAGACACTTACAAGAGATATGATCCGGCTGATTTGAGAAGGTCAGATTCGGCAAGCTGTTCCAGTCCCCAAGATTGGGATATTTGATTTTGCCGTTTTGACAATGAAATTGTGACCTCCCTCGTGAAATGATAATACTGAGATTGAATCAAGACTGGCTCACCTTTAAACAAAAGCCTACATCAACTTCATCAAATACTAACCGAAAGGCAGCGAAGAAGCAAAGACGAGCGTCGTTGTTCAATGTTCATGGTGATTGTGGCCCA